TCTTGAGCAAGAAGGTGTCGTATTTGGTTCGCGGACATGCCCACGAACATGCGACGCGATCCATCCCTGAGATCAATCTCAAGGACAACTCCTTCGACTACGCAGCCGTCGCCAAATGGATCCAACGTCGATATGACTGGAACTGCACCCAATACACTCTTCTTCAGGCCACGTCCACATCGAATCGGTTCGAGGTCTATGTCGAGTACGCGCCGGCCGGGCAGCAATGGAACGGGCTCAGTTTCATGCCACTACGCATTCGCGCGTTCACCGGCCACAACGATTGGGTGACCGAGGCCAGCGGCTTTGACAATATTCCTGGAGATCCCATTGCAATGGATGTCAATTACACCATTGAGCACGCAAAGAAGGGTGTGCGACCGGGCTTCTGCAAAGATTTCTCGGACGCACGCCGAAAGGCGCTGCCCAAAATCGCCTACCACACGTGCAACATGCAGAATTTCTTTGACATCATCTACATGGGCATCTTTCCGGGCGGAATGGGAGACCGGCAAACCTCGCGTGGTCACGCCTACCTAACGGTAGTGCCTCCTTGGGACAGGCATGGCCGGAAGGCGGGGGGTGCGCGTGCTGACCGACCCATCAACATCGCCGTCGATGTGGAGATGTTGATCCAATTGGGATGTCGGCTGTACGCACCCGGAGACGGGGAAGCCCTGGTGACGGAGGATTGGATCACGAACAAGGTCCTCATTTACGCCTATGACGCTGAATGTGCAAAGTTTATCTGGTCCAACCGGATGTACGTCAGCGTCAGACGGAATTACCAGGACAGCATCAAGAAGTATCGGGAAGAGACCCAGAAGGGCGTTGTCGGGACCCCAGTGCTGGAATCGTTCATGGCGAAGGCCGAGAAGGAGTGTAAGCTCTATTACAAACAGTGGGCCCCGACAGCGTGCCGCGACATGACGCGGCCCCACCGCATTGGCAATGTGACGAAGGTCAGGGACGTTTACGACGAGAACCTCCCGAAAGAAGAGCAGGTCGCGCTTGAATTCGAGACCGCCCGCTATGGCCTCTACAGAAACTGGGCCCGAGCTGTGACGCAGCAGCCCGGGGAAACCCGAGGCCGGAGTGGTTTGTGGCAGGACTTGGATCCCAACAAGCAGAAGTCGACCAACTGGCGCTTCGCGGAGGTCATGCACATCCCCGACGTTGAGTGCCCGCGCTGCAAAATCCTCATCCCGGTCGGCACTATCAACTGTTTCCAGTGTGACCATCTCATGGAGCGCATGCCCGATATCAAGAAAATAGCCAGGGTCGTCCGTTTGCAGGAGATGGCCAACAGCTTGGGCGTGCCGCTTTCCATGGACCAGGTTGAGACTCAGATATTGACGCAGCGGAAGGATGCGCGGGGGGATCGAAGCGCAAGAGGGGGCCTCGGGATCATGAAGGACATCGCCAAGAAAGCAGTTCTTCGCAACAAGGAGTACACCACGTTGTACGAGAGGCTGATCAACGACCCCTTCTACGCCTACACTGCCGCGCGGGGAGACCTGACGCCGTCCGCCCTCGAGTTTATCGAGAAGGTGGCACGATGCATTATTCCGAGTTTCGGGAGAACCAAGGAAATGATCCAAGGAAGCGTTGCTGTGCCGAAATATCACGCACGGCTAACGCTGGTGCCGCCAACGGAGGACGTGCAGGAGGTTGATCCGAAGGACGTGTATGTGGTGCATGGTGGCAGATTTCTGGAACCAGAACAATTTGCTGCATTGTATGGAAGCCTTGACAAGAGCAACCGCTACCCCGTGATGGGCTGGACCCGGGATTTCTCGTCTGTGGGAGACCCCGAAATGGTATTGGTTGAGTTGCTCTGCTTCGTCGAAGAGGAGATCCCCAGCATCGAGATCCCTGGACGAGCCACCCCGCTCCCTGCAGTTGTCGGTGTGACGCGCAAGCCCATTCCGCAGCTCCGGGAGACCGGTGGCCAATGGCAAGATCGTCAATGGAGCCAGTCGTACTGGGGAAGCTGGGGCCAATCCTGGGACTCGTGGTGGTCTGATGATCAGCGCCCGTGGAAGAGCTCCCGCAATTGGGATTGGCGATGAATGAGCGATCTCTTCAACAATCTTTTCAATCTTCGGCTGACATCCATTTACATTTCAAATTCAATATTCATTGTACTTCTCAATCATGTTGGCCGAGGATCAATGTACAGTGCATGAGCACGCCTCGCGAGAGCGACGGTCAGTGGAGGCGAAGACCTTAACTGCCGATTGCTCGTATCCAAGTGCTTGTGTACTGCAAAAGGACTTCATGCCGATCGGGTTTCTTTGGTTGTTTCATCCCTTTCATTTGTCCTCCTGTTTCACATTCGGGCACGGGGGGTGTAGTTTGCAACGTGATGTATTTATCAACCATGTAAAACCCCAATGCATGAATGTCTCACTTGCGCAGTCTCATCATTACGACTGCGTATGGCTCAAGGAAAAAGCGCGCTGTGTACAGGGTTCATTTGTGACCCTTCCCGGTTGTTTAACCTGTTCTATAAAAAGTTAAACTTTTGGAAGGGGGGCCGAAAGCAACCGAGGTTCATTTGTTAATTGGTGGGTAGGTGTCCCTGAATTTTTGGCGTGTTGCTCTCACTCGCGCCGACCTGCCCAGTTGGCTTTGAAGCTGGCGGCGATGAGCCTGACAGATTGCCCCTTCGGCCGCAGATCCGTTGCGGGCGGGGGCCAGCCAAGAGGAGGTGTGTCATTTTTCTGGTGCGGGTTGGTGGGTTGGTGTTGGTTGGGTGGGGTTGGGTGGGGTTGGTTGGTTTGGTGCGCGCCGCTTCATTTTCTCGCCATCGCTGCCAGGGAACTCTTTCTGCAACCTTTCGTGGGAAAATTGGCGACCCCAAAAAGGAATCCTTCACTTCGAGGGGGTGGATCATTTTTCCGCAGGTGGCAAACAGACCCCTCGGTGCGATAGGCGTCCCTGAGAAGTGGAACGACCAGAACAAAGCAATCCCATGCTTGGAGGTTTCCGTTAAGGGCATCTCCAAGGCGAATCATGCCCATCCGGTCGCGTCATTCCCTGCCTATCGCACCAGCAGTCTTGGGGGCTGGGCTTCTCAACTGGGCCCGACTCATTCCCAAAATCATCATCCATAGGAGGGTTCGGGCAACTTAAGTGTTCGTAGTATGGTCTATTTAGGAAAGGCGGCGGGGCAGGAGGGACTCACTGAACGTCCTACAAACATCAGGGACTCACTGACTGTGTTTCATAAAGGGGGCCGCGGGTGGGGGGTGGCAAAGTGAAGCATCCCCAATAAAACACACTGCTCCCATCAAATAGTCAAGAGCGACACTCCAAATCAAAATTTCTTGATTGCTCACCGCTAGGTTACCACCAAAAGGGGGGCCGTGGGCAACATCTTAAAGCAATTCCAAGCGCCATTTGATTTGTGGTCCTCCGGGTGGGTACAGTTCGAGGTTGCTATTGTGGCTCGTTGGGTTCACCCCCTTGAAGCCACCATCGAGCTCTGGTGATTTTCCAAGGACGTCTTACCAAACGTGGACCCTGCAGCTAATGTTTAGAATCCCGCAAGGCCGTTGCCTGCTCCCTTACTTTGGCTTCGGGACTTTTGTTTGAGTTTCTGGCTGTGTCCTCATGTCCGGACGTTTTTTCCCCCACAAGTGGACCCAATTGTTCCCTAACTTGTTCCCTGCAGCTGTTGCAAAAAAATATATCCCCTGGCTGCTGTGACCTGAGGGGTTCGCAGAGGGCCCCGGGCCGATGGGACCTCACCACTTGGCAGCTGACTGACTGACTGCCCCCCAGCTCCGAGGCACTCCTTGACCCCCCACGCGGGCAAAGATGCCTCCTTCGCCGGGCTGCTGCAGGCCGGCCGGGTGCTTCCGGTACATACGGCTTGGTTTGGGCGTGGCTGTTTCTAGAGGGACCTCCACAAAAATGGGCTGGGGACACCCGAAATGGGTGTCTTCTTTTTTGGGGGGACCCCGAAAAAATAGTGGATTTTCACTGGTGGCTTCCCTTTTGCTGCCAACCAAAACGGGTAGCCTCAAGAATGATGCACCCATTTGGGTGTGTGTTCGGGTTGAAGGGAAGCCATCACCGCCCATCCAAAGAAGCTGATGCTGTGTTAAACCAGGCTTGATCGGCAAAAGGAGGTTAGAATAAGTACCTGGGCATGTGTCAAACTGGTGGCTTTCACATTGGTTTTCCCTCTAAACCCAGAAGCACATCCTCAAACAAGACTCCCAAATAGGTGGAAACCCCAAAATCGGGGTTTTGGCTCCGTAAATCCAGGTTCAAGATCAACCAGCAACCAGGGGATGTTGGTGTTGGTGTTTTTTTCACCGGTTGTCCAGCTTGCTAGGTCCCCCAATAGTGCCCTTTTACCCTTTTTTGGGGGAGGGGTCCCCTACTAAAATAGACTACAGAAAAAAGGTACCCTTATTCCTCTACTGACCTAGCTTGTGTTTTGGGCTGTTTCTCCCCTCAGCCACTGGAGGTTTTCGGATTGCTTCTGAGCCAAACCGCGCTGGGCCGCAGCATGGGCTCAAGTCGTTGCCCGAAAACCGCCCAGAAAAATCGATGGGGCCCACAGCAAGGGCAAAACGGGACGGGAAAATGTGCTGGGCAGTTGATCCTTTGAAATTTGGGACTTGTACATTATTCGATTGGTATGATTCGCCCAGCCCAGGTGCAAGCAGATCCCACGACAGTGGCACCGAGAACCAAACCTTCTGGAAACGTGCCGCCTGACTCTTTTCCAGCCCACGGGAACGCAACACATCACGTCAACATGGTCCTCCCCCTTTGTGTTGCGGAAGGTTGAGATTTCGCCGCAGGGCCCTCTCAATTTGTCTTTTTGAACCCTCCAAAATCCAACTCTTGCAATCCTTTCAGTCAAGTTCCCTATGCTTCCCTCTTTGGGACCCCACCACCTTCCCCGGCGAAAGCATAATGGTGGAAGCCACCAGTAAATTGATGAGCGGTTGATTTGGCGGACTTTTCTGGTGGAACCAAGTTGTTTACTGGTGGGTTCCACTCTTCGTGGAACCAATTTTCAGTGGACCCTCCTCAGAACGATCATCGCCTTTTGACGCCATGGACAAGGCAGAGGCCAAAGCGCTCTTCGAGCGGTGCATCCCCCACTTCCCCCGCGCAGGGTTAGAGGCGGTGAAGCACGTGAAGGAGGCAGGCTGCACAGAACTCGGTGGCGCTCGTTTTCATTTGGGCCCTTTTGCTTTGGTTCCAAAATATGACTGATCAAACACAGAAAACATGTCCTTTCCTAAAGGTCAAGATAAGAAGCACCTGTTTTCCCCCTTCCCCCTCCCCCCACAAAACAAAAAAAAAGTAGAGAGAAAAACAATAAGACAAAAACAACAAACACGAAACACGACAACAAGAGTCTCGTTTCCCCCGACCTCAGCCGTTTCAGGTCAAGGCCCGGGCCGTGGCCTCCCTGTGGGCGGGCATCTTGCCTGGGATCTTTCGACTTGAGAACTTTTTGGTTGAAATCAAGTTGGGTTTTCCACTCAATTGGGACATCAAGTGTTTTCTTTCCACTAAACCACCCCCCCAAGAAGCGGTGCACTTTTGCAGGGGGTCAAGAAGTGGTTCACTTTTTGCAGGGGGTCTCGCCACCAAGGCATGGGCACGGTCTACGCTCTCACCGGCGATGCCTTCACCATCGTGGCCAAGCGCATCGAGCTGCCCAGTAGCTGCAGCTCTATCGGGGACCAGCGCAAAAAGGCGCGGGGTGCATCGCGGTTCCAGAACCCATCACACCCAACCACCTGGCGCCACCAACCAATAGTAGATGTCTAAACTGAGGTCCCAAATAGCCAAGTTCTTATGACACTTTCTACTAAAATTGCCACCCATGTTCAAGAGAGACAGGGGCAAAAGGCTTTCACCCCGAAAAGGTCGGCGCTCATCGCGGCCTGAGTTTCAGCCTTTGGGCGGAGCTCCTTCAGTGGCATTTTGAGGAAAACCGCAAGGTAAGAATTATTTTATTTTGTGGGGGGGGGGTGGCGGTGGGAAACTCCCAAGGCAACTCAAAAGGGTTTAGGGTTTAGGGTTTACCATGATGTCCCAGTTGTTTTTTTTTCAGGGGGTTTTAAGGAAAACCGCAAGGTAGCAACTCATTTTCGGGGGGGGGGGGGGGAACGGGCCCAAGTTTGCGCTTGGATCTTGAAGGGCCTCCACTTCCATGGATTGGAAAGAGGGTGAAGCTTTGTGGGAAGACATTTGGGTATGGCTCGAAAAACCGGTGCCAACATGGAGCCCTGGTAAGTGGAAACATGGACCAAAACCTGCGTAACCCTAGCTCTTTCATTTTGAGCCGCAGCCATTTGTTTTCTCACTAGTCAGCCAACCAATGGAACCATTTTGCATGGCCACACCCCGTCAGGTGCAGCTTGCTAAGTAGCCGATAAATTTTAACGTAGGTGTTGGCTCCCCCAAAAAGGAACCAGAAGATATTTGTTATTTCTCCAGAGTGTCCCAGTTTTGAGGATATACTCTGGCAACTTGCCAGGGGGTTGTTTTCTGGCAAATTCGCCGAGAAACAGCCACGGAGGGAAGGCATGTTGAGTACTGACATTTGTCAACTGCAAGGCGGTCCTTTCTTTTCAGTTTGCTTTTGGCTGCATGCCAGACTTGCCAGAAAGGCTCGCTTTTCAGTGTTGGTGAAATTGTGTTGAACCCTTGAACAGGGTCCAAAAGGCACATGCATTCAAAGGCATCGCGCCGTGTGGCATCATGCGGACATGTTGGTCTTTATCACTGGCCCGGAATTTCTGAGGTTAAGAGCGTTAAGGGCGGCAACAGTCAATATCCATCAATTATTGGAGTAGAGGGTATGACATGGCTCAAGACCCCCCAAATCACCATTTGGAAATGGAGTGCGTTCAGGGCACTTTGTGAGTGTTGGCTGTCGCTGTGCTCAGGACAGTTATGACGTCGAAGCAGCCTTCTATCAGAATGCCCGCGCCTGAGTTGTTTAATCAAGCCTTGCTTCCCGGCTCCATTTACTTGCTGCGAGAGATGCAGGGAATGAGAAATGGAATGACCCCTACAAACCATCCCCCCAAACCCTTCCAAACCCCCCCAAACCCCCCCAAACCCCCCGAACCCCCCCAAACCCCCAATGGTTTCCTAGCAAGTCCCAAGATTCATTCCATTTCTCATTCGAGCAGCGCAAGTCAACACCCCTCATTTTGGCCTGCGCCCTCCATTGGCGTTGAGTCGCCAGAATCGTGAACAGAATGCCAGGCGTCCACTGCGTGTCCCTTCAAGAAGCCTAGGTTGCCGCAAAAGGGGCAAAAGGAGATCCCCGGCGAAAACAAGAACATAGCTGGTGTTTCAGCTTTGGTGTTTTGGTGCCGTTTCAGCTGTAGATTGCCCATGTTCAAATCAAATGCGAAAAGTCCAAAGCCCCATGTTCCAAAAAAGGTCAGAAACCACCCATTCTGCAAAAAAAACTGCAAAAGAAGCCAAAAGCCCTGTGGATCCTACATGGTTTTCCACGGAGCCCTTTACGGTTTTGGCTCGGCTCCAACGCCGCGCGCTCCGCGCGCTCCGTCGCTTCGAGGGCCACGCGGAGCGGCTGATCGCCGCAGGGTGCCAAGTGCCCTGCCCGCTGCACGTGGAGCGGGGCAAGGATGGGCTCACCATCTGCATGACGCATTTGGAAGGCCGGCTTTAGTCTCACTTCCTGAGTTCATCAACTTTAAACTTTTTGGGAAGACCATTTTAGTGGTAAACATAAAGTTTTGACTTTTTTGGGCCATCCACTCGGCAAGTGAGTAGTAGCAAAAACATCGGGCCAATTTGAGAGCATAGGCGTCCTTTTCAGGCTAGCTTGAGTAGAAATAGATGGGCTCGACTGGTTTAGATGGGTTCTATTCCATTTTCCATTGCCATCGTGTTTCCACAAAGGACACCTATGTTTGAGAGGAAAATCTTCGAAAAATGCTTGTGAAAGCAGACCATCCTAGTACAGTGGTAAACAACAAGTGTGCACTTGTTTGGGCCATCCACTCAGGAAGTGAGCCCTAGTGCTATGGACATCGCGCGTCTCTCGTGGGATGTTGCCTGAACTCGTTTGGATGATAACTCCGAGTCGGGGGGTACCGAGGCACCTCCACTTGATTCCGCCTGAAGCTAGCCGAAGGGCCCGTGAATTAGGAATTTCGGAGCTGGGAAAGCACAGGTAGATGTTCAACACCCTTTCACATCACATAATCGACCAATTCAAAAACATGTGTGTTTCCCCTAATCACGAGGTCTGAAAGCAGCGCACTGAAGTCTTTCCTGGCCACGGTGAACATCGCCCAAAGGGACACTCGTTTTCCCCAAATCCCGTGAGTGAGTATGAGTACTGGGTCCTGAGAAAATGCCCAGCCTGGGCGAGAAATCGGTGCTCGGCTCCAGGCAGATCGTCCCATCCACGGGGCAAGGAGGCGTTTCTGAAGTGGCTCGCCAGGCTGCATGCGCAGCTCGGCCGCAAGAGCCGCAAGAGTCGCAAGTCGAGCTTCTCTTTCGCCAGAGACTCGTGTAGGGTCCCCGTGATTTTCGGGAAGTTCTGGCAGGGGATTCATTGGTGGCGAGGGTTTGGTTTTAGATGCCTTCGTTGTCCTTCTCTGACCTGGCTTGCTAGTTTTTGTCCATAGTCAAGGTCCCGAAAGGTGATCACCCCTTATTTCCGAGTCATTTGGCAGGTGAGCCGGGGATCACGTGGCGAGACTGCAGGAAAGATGTTTTCGGAGGGCAGTCGTATAAACCAAAGGTCATTTAGACGGGGCAGCAAAATTTGACCCACCATGCTTGTTGTGAGCGGTGTAGGCCAGCAAGGCTCGACACATGCCAAGCCAAAATATTGGTTCACAGTTCTGCTGGACCAGAGGGGTGCCACAGCCATTCCAAAGATACTGCAAGTATTTCAAGGTTGACCCCGGATTAATAACCATCTGTTTATTTAATTATTAATATGGGGGTGCTTCTCCCTGGTTTTAGTGGGGATTCTTCATTTTTGTGGGGGGAACACTCCCATTGATAAAGAGAGTTTATTCACTGGTTTGTGGTTTGTCCACCTGCAATGCTTAGGGAACCCACCATTGACTTCCATTGCAGGGTCCTCGTCCTCCAGACATCAATGGGAACCATGGCTTCACCATCCCCAGAGCGATTTCTGGAAGAGGGACCGCCCGAATCAAGAAGGGCTGAACCCAGAAGAATTACATGGGGCTCCAGTCAGGACAAATCGTATTGAGCCAGGTTACAACGATTAGCCCTTGCTGCTTTCCCGGTTCCATCTTCGACTCTCAGGCTAGGCTAAATTATGAACCTGATTCAAAATGTGATTCTCTGCGAAAGTTAGAGGTGGGTCAATGTACCATGTCCATCCCATGTTTCAAAATGACCATGGCCCAGAAAGGACCTACTGGGGGCCTCGCGCAGATGTGGCGTGCAGCCCCCCGGATGCACTCAGAGTTGTCCGGAGTCGGAGTGGCTGAAAACATACTTGTTAAAGGGAGGCTCCTTTCTAAGAGGGCCCCACTCACTTGCCCAAAGCGAATCGACCTGATCCAACCTTTTGGTTTCCCGGATTTGCCCAATTTTTTGTCAAGGTCCCAGATGTTTCGCGTTGTAATGTCCGCGTTGTAATGTCCAAGTATTCGTCCCGGCTGTGCCTTCAGTTGCAGCTCTTCCAGGTACTGAAATTTCCTCCAGATCCCAAAAGCGTGCGCCCCAAATCTACCTCCTCAAAAGACAGCGAGCGATTGTGACCCCAGCTGAACGGCTAGAACCTATTGGCGCGCGGCACGTGACAAAAAGGGGCATGTAGCTACTACTTGTCTTTTTTTTATTTGGGGGTGGATCGAACGCTACTACCCTTGAAACATCTGATGTTTCAGTGCCACATGGAAGTGTGCTTTTTTGGTGTGATGGTGTTTGAGGGTTCTGAAGTGATACACACTCTCCCGAATTCCGGCTGGTCATTGTGAGGCCTCCAAACGCACAAAGCTCTCCGTTCCTTTCAATCTTACAGGGAACATCCTCAGATGCCGGGGAGTTGTGTCACGTGCTTGGGTTTTTCCGAGCCGCATGTTCCCAATTCTCGTCAGACTTCATCTGGGCTGTTTGTCACACATGAGTCTTGGTTTTGTCGTCTTGCCCGAGCCTGTACAAAAGGAATGGAAACTGGCAAGGGGAAAAAATGGAAGGCAAGTGCTCAGCCCTCGCAAAAATCGCGCCAAGAAGGTCGAGGGTGGAGGGACGTGGCTGAATGGCTGGTGCAAGGAAAATTGGTCTACAGTGTGGATGAGCACCACCGACCTTCCATACACAGATCCCTCTATGTGGAATAGTGACACACAACCTGACATTTGAGGGGGCTTTATTCGGCCTTAGAGTGCTCCGCAGATCAACATGGAGGTCAAACAACCGATATCCTTTCAGCACTCTCCTTGTGAGGAATCCCTTTTCCATTTTTGGGTCCAGGGTCTAGATTGCTGCATGGTTAGAATATGTCGCAGTTGTGCCCTGGCTGACTTCGCAGTTTGAACTTTGTGGTGTGGATTGTTGGTTTGGGGATTTGAACCTCCAAGCCGCCAATCCAAACCATAGATGCTTTCTCATAAAACTGCGGCGCCCCCCAAAAAGGAATAGCAGAAGAAGAAGAAAGAAAAATACAACACTGGGCGGTCTTTCCTTGGTCTGATCAAACGCACCCGGGTCAGAGGCGAGGCGATGAAACATTTGGATCGATTCGCTGAGACTTTTGGGAAGCTTTTCGCTCAGGTGCCGGGCCCGAGGGGGGCCTGCAGCCGCAAGGGCCCTTCAGCTTGCAATGGGGGGAATTGTTTCGCGGGTTTTACGTAGGGGGGGGATATGAATGGTGAAGTATTTTGCTGGGTTGTTGGCCTCTGCTTGCTAAGGAAAGGGGGGAGGAAACTGTTTGGGAACCTGTTTCGGGAACGTGCAGGGGATGAAACATCAACTACAAACAAAAAGGCAATTCTCGCTCGGTGAGTTCCTGAACCGCATACTGCCGGCAGAGGCAACTTGAGTGGAAAACCACAAGTACATATTCCGTTTTAGTGGCGTGGAGAAACTGCGTACATAGACTGTGGCTCACTGTGTTCAACTCCCCAAAGCCAAGAAAACCCTGCCATTTTGGGGGACCGTTTATGAGAAACTCCCGGGCCAACCTTGGACCCAGAAAGTCATATGGACCCAGCTGGTATGGAGAAAACGACTAGGGCTTTCCCCAAGTCATCAAACCCCTAAAAACCAATGATTTGTTGAAACAAACACATCACATGTGGCTTCCCCAAGTCATCAACCCCAGTATTGGGAGACTCTTTTTCAGAGTCCGACTTTCTGCCTGCCTCCGAGTTTTTTTTCTTCGGTCCCTTCAGTCACTGGTCCCTAAAAAGAAGAGGCTGAACATATGGCTTCCCCATGCCATCAACCCAAACAACGAGTTCTTGTTTGACAAAAGTCAAAAACAAATCAACTTCCGACTTTCTGGCTCCGAGTTTGGACCCCCCCCCCTCCCCCGCATTTTTCGGCCCTTTTGGGGTTCTGAGGTGCTACTGGCACCTGGACACCCGCCCAGAAGAGCACCAGCGCATGGGGCGCTCGGGCTGGATGTATCGCCTGAAGCTGGCGGCGAGGGCGTTGGACCTGCGGCTCAAGGCGGACCCTCGGCCGGGGTTGGAGCTCCTCTTCCCCCAGAGAATCAGACAGATCTGGGGGATTGCTTCCTACCGCTCCGTTCCAGTTCTCACTGGTAGGGAATGACAGTCCCTTAAAGGAAACCAGAGAGGGTGGTTGTCTAGGCTAGGTGCTCTTTCTCATCCTTTTTTGTGGGTTTTGGGTCCCCTACTAAAACAGACATCCTGAACAAAGGGGGTACCCTTTTTCTAAGCTCCAGTAGTCCTTTGCGATCGCCCGCAGTGTCTGCTCGACGCAGCGATTGATTGCCGGGGGGGGGAGGGGGGGAAAGAAGTTGAGAAGGCCCCCCCCCAAAAAAAAACAAGTTCGGCCCGGCTTTTTCGGGCCGAATCTTCCACTAGAGAAGTGAGTTGTAGGGATGTGCCTCATCTTGCCTTTTTGGAATTCACCTGCGCGCCAAGGATCCGTTTCAGTCTGCCACTCTGGCTGCACAAGGGCTGCTTGCTTCAAGCGGAGAGGGTTGGAGGGTACTTTTCTAAGGGTTGATTCCAATTCCATGCTTTTCAACAATCCTTCTTTCAAAAACCGACCGTGTTCCTGTGTTTCCGGAGGTTTTCTAGTAAGAAGGATCCCTGCAAAGAATGGGAAGGCAACACTAGAACTTTGCCCTCGTTTCATTTCAAAGCCTCCCTATTCTCCAGCCTGGAACGCGATTTCGAAAGAGCTTCAAAACAGCCACTGACAGACTAACGAGCCCCGTTCCATTTGTAAGTTTCTTGGCTGTGCCGGTTATATGCGCTACACTGACCCTGTTTTCTTGCGCAAATGATTGTTCCAACTGGGCGAAAACTCTATGGATTGTTTCATAGCTGAAGGAGGATGGAAGCAGGAAGAGGACAGAGGGGAGAAGGGAAAGGGGCTAGGGCGTGGAAAGGAAAAGGAAGAGTGAAATGGGAAAGAAGAAAAGGACAGAGCAAAGAGAATGAATGGGAGAGGACAAGGAACAGGAAAAGAGAAGGGAAAGGGCAAAGGGAAAAAAGACGAGGAAAAGGGAAAAGGGTAGAAGGGGACGGGAAGGAAAGGAACCACAGCAAAAAGAACCGATGTGGGGAGCTCGAGGAGGGGAAAGGATCAGCTCGCAGTGCGCAGAAGGCTAGTCGAGATTTGATTGCGAGGTAGGGGGCCCGCCCCAGAGGATGATTTGTGCATGATGCTCTTGTTCAGAGAATGTCTCTAGGAAGACATTCTGATTTGGTTTGAGGAAAACTAAGTTGATTATTTGCCCGAACAAATGAAAAATCAAGTTGTCCATTCTCTGGCTGGCTAAGTAATTCATAGAGATAGGGTTTTAAGCCCATGAAAAACACGAATGCGAAGTCTTACCAGGTCTCACCACGAACCACCAGCAACGACTGGCTCTACGGCCTCCAGGGCTGGGTTGCGGCTGTCCAAAAATCTTTCCTTTTGCAACCGCTACTTCACCTGAGCTTGTCTTTGTAGAAACATGGTCGTTGTTGGGACGCATTTTGCATTTTTTCTTATTGTGGTTGGGTGGTCGAAATCCCCACTTAGCTGCTAAAAAAATGAAAAATGCTCCTCTTCCAACGTCAACTAAGGAAGGGACCCCCCCCCCTCCGACCTCTCTCTTTCTTTTCCCGGGCGCTTCTTGCGTCCCGAGGTCTGCCACGGAGATGCCAAGGGCGCGAACATCCTTTACAAAGATGGGGAGGGAGGCTTCGGCGCGTTGAGTTTACCCCCAGACACATGTGGCCATGGGTCCAAATCTAAATAGTACCCCCCCAGTGAGCATCCCAAATAGACTTGCATAGGTGGTGCACCTATCACAAAATGGCACCATTGGTTTTGAAGCATGGCCATGTGTTGCGTGCTCTTTCTTTCTGTTTTTGGGACCCTCGCACATCTTACGTGACAGGGGCATCCCTTGATGAAACTGAACTTTCAGGTTGCACAGGTGCCTTCTGTTTGCAAGCAGCTGCCCTGGTCCCTAAACTCTGTTTTCCAGGCAAACCTGCACGCATGCTGTTTTAGGAGTGTTGACATGGGTATGGGTCAAAACTAAACCACCAAAAACCGCAGGTTTTAGTCCATGGCTCCATTTACCAGGATTCCTTTTCCGCTACCTATGTTTGACCCACAGCCAAATGTCAAACGAAAGCAGGGAGGTTGTTTGAGCACTTGTTGTACGCAGGGTCAACCTAGCCCGCCTTTAAGACTCCAGAAAACGACGGCTTCCGGGCCGCAGGTTGTGTGGCGTTGGTCTACGACTTCCAGTACTGCGGCAAGGCCCCAGCACGGCACCCAGGCGAACAGTCCGGGCAAATGCTTGGTGGGAGTTCTTGGATGTTCAACCTCTGTGAGGCCCCACTTACCCTGCCCATGGTTAGAGTCGGGTGGGTTGATCACTTGCTTTGGGCTCAGGTGACGAAAGACTTGGCCCCTTGGCAGCAGTTCAAGTTGAAGAACCTTGCCGGAATGCAAGCATCCCTGTGATTGGAGTCGCTTTGGCCTAGGCGTACTTCTTCAATGTGGAAGCCTGCCCCAGTGCAGTCGAAGAGGAGAAGCTGCTGCAGCTCTATCATCAGGAGACCTGAGGGTTCCATTTCACCTTGGTGCCCTTTTACCGTTTCTTTTCTGGGGGAGGGTTCCCCTACTCAAATAGACTGCAGAACAAAGGTCCCAACTTATTCTAGCCTCTCTACTGGAGGACCTAGTTGGGAATAAACTGCCGATAAGTTGTCTCACAAAAGGGGGCCCAGACCACCAACGAGTGGGCCGGGCGAGTGGCGACTCTGCTGGCCAACTCACGCCGGCTTTACGTAAACTTGCTGGACGGAAGTGTGCGGAGCCCTTGTAGCTGGTGTCTTTCTGTGTGCCTTGTTTGAGGCTCGGTGCCTTTTTCTCGGGTTGGCGCGTATACGGGACAGCAGGAAGGAAAACCACCAGTTCTCTCTCTCTCTCTCTCTCGTTCGATCCCGCAGGTCTCAAATTAGAAGGACTCTTGGCCCGGGGCGCTCAAGTTTTTGTTAGCCAAGGTTAGATGAGTGTTTTTCCGTGGGGTGATGCTCAACCCGGCACATCTGAGGCTTATCTTAAATTTGGTAAACCCCCCCCCCAAAAAAAAACTCTGCGTTTCCCATTTGACTTCCCTCAACATGGGCATGGGTCAGAATCAAGCCACCAAAAAACCGCAGGTTTACACTGCATGTGTCCATTTACAGGTTTCCATGTTGGAGTCCTATCTTTGACCAGCCAACCCCGCAACCAAGGGGAACACCTCGAGAGGAGCTCTCAGGGCTGCTGGCGAAGCAAGGCGACGCCGCGCCGGACTTCCAGGCATTGCACACTTCCCTTGAGCGCCCCGGCGGGCCGCGGAGTTGACAGGGGGAACCTCACGGATATGGGAGGATTCTCCCTGAATGCACCTTTGACTAAGCTTGATGTGGGAAATGGCGCCAAGGGAATCCCCCCATGTCCCCGCTCCCTCCGTATCTCCGCTTGTTCGCTTGTCCAAGTTCTAGAGGAAACACATGTGTGGAATGCGGGGCGTGCATGGTAGTCTTCAGATTTTATCCTGAACTTGTGGTTTGGACTTAACTTGGTTTGGATTTGGACTTGAAGCTCTGGTCCCTTGTCGCAGTGGTCAGTAGAGTAGGCGTTTTCATGTCCTGCTTAGACTGCTCCGCCCCAGTTTGACCAACTTTGAGGGGACCCCTGGAAGCCGTATCGAGCCTGTGGCCCCTAAGCGGATCCCCTTTTCGGTTCATGTCCAAAACCCATAGTGAGCAATCACAACCCGGGTAGATGAAGGTTAGTAAGGGACGATCCGAGCCATACATAGCTGCGGCCGCCTTGGTATTTCCTTACATGGTTCTGGGTCAATCAGACTCAATGCCGGGTTTTGATTGTGAGTCTAGCGATTCTGGCGACCAAGGCTGGCCCTTTGCGACTGGCGCCGCTTCACGGAAGTTGGCCTGGGGGGCTGGGGCGACAGCTCCGCCACGAAGAGAGTGATGAAGGCGGGATCGTGTGCATAGGTCTTAGGTGTCCTTTTCATCGGTTCGTTTGAAACTAAAACTAGATGGCACGCGTTTAGATGGGTTTTATTCCAAGGGCCATTGATGTTTTTCCAACAGGTCACCTATGGTCGGGTGGGTTTGTTACTAAATGCATCGCGTCGCTAGACCAAAGGTTTTCCCTTCTCAAGGTGTTGCCTGGGTGTTCCTTCATCCCCCCTTACCAGCCAAAAATATATATTGATATATGTGCGCGGGTGATGTCTGGGCCAAAAATGGGAAGCTCCAACATGGGTTATGGGTTTCCACTTGGTAACATCCAAAAGGGATACCCAAAAAGCTCACAAGAGATGGCCCCAAAGCCGAAATGTCCGGTTTTTCATACCTGGAATGGGCTATGCACAAAACAGACTGCCAGACTGTTGCTTCATCTTTTTGCATCGTTGCTCTGGTTGTCCTTTTGTGCGTCCCTTTCCTCAATTGGTGTGGGACCTTGCGGTCGGCCAGGGTAGCCTAAATCCTTGGCGCCGGTTTGCTTTGCCCCCTTGGGCACGGTTTCGGGTCGGAGGGGTCTTGATTGCTATTGGGTTGGATTGTTTCCACTAAACCCACAAGAAGTTAAACTTTTTGCAGCGGGGTCGTTGCAGCAGCCAAGTGGTTTTTCATCATTTGCCTTACGCCTGCGTAGGGCATCCGTCTCCCTTTCCCTTCGGCCCGGGAACTCGGAACTTGCGCGGAATGTTCAGCTCAGGTGCTGGACAAGTTGGATGGCGGCCAAGCCTTAGCGTCTGAGCAAGCCTACGTTGATGCTATGCACCGGGAATTTCCCGTCTAGGCGGAAGAGAGAAGAAACAAAAGCGCGGGCTCGGGCCTGCAGTGGTCGAATTACATTTTCGAGGGCCCCAAACCCCAACATGGGCACTAGCGCGGGTCTTGTTTGATAAGGGTGGGTGTTAACCGAGCTTTTGACCTTTTGTGCTGCCTCTTTTGGTCATTTTTTGTCCAGAAGGTGCGCACCTTTGATTTACAGCCCCCTTGACTGAGATAGGGTGAGAGTAAGGAAGCCGGAGAATGTTTGCCGTTGCCATTCTGAGAATAATATTGACAAGTGTCTGTGATGGAACCTTACCTTTTGGGCAAGTGAGATAACCTCCAATCCACTAACATGGAATATCATTTTCAGGGACGGCATCTTTAGTGGCTTCCATGTTGGTGACCAGGATGGTAACCCATCCTCAGTACAATGTTTAAAGTGTCACTTTGGAGTCTTACACTGAGATAAATCAGCGTTGGGCAAGGACATCGCCTCTTTTGTGTTTGTTCCTTTGCCTTTGAATCGATCCGCCGGTGCAAAACGGGAGACGGTTGGGAGATGGTGGCCAGAATGGCGGGCCCCCCTTTCTTTCGGGGGAGGGTGCCCCTACTAAAATAGACTCCTCAGAAAGTTAGCACCCTTCTTCTAACCTCTCTACTGGAGGACCTAGTAAATGTCTAGCCCCTTTTGACAAGTCAGACGACCCTTTTTGGGGCACGCGGACGGAGGCCTCGGCCCCAGTCTCCCAGCGGAGAAACTCCAGACTGCGGTCGCTGACGCCGCCGGCGGCCCAAAGCTTTTGACGGAGCCCGCAAAGCCCGGGGTGGGGCGTGGGGTGGGGCGGGGTGGGGTGGGGACCAAGAACCTGAGATGGGACCAAGTGCATTTCAACAACAGAAAACCACCTAAGTGGTTGATGGGCACCAGCTGGAAAATAGTCTTAGATATGGCTGCGGCTCAAAATTAGGCAGCCAGGGTTACGCAGGGGTGCTATTTTGGACGTCCTCTTTTTGCGCCATTGCCATAACAATAGTATTTCGGTGTTTCTCAAAATCTGACTCCCTGTTTTGGTTGAACTACCTTTTGGGCTTGGTCGCCCGAAGCCCTGCAGACGTAACGTTTTCCTACCAAGCATGTTTAGGAAAATGAGATCCTCATCCTACGGGGGTGTCTTGCTTGTGTAGCCTCACATCCTTTGTGCGACGTGTTTCGGACTGGCAGGCCTGGGTGCACATGCTTTCACTGAACCTCATGAGAAGACATCCCGGCAATGCAGCCGCGCCTGGAGAAGGCCCGCGGCAGCGCCAAGTGCGCTCTAGACTTGAAAGCGAATCTCGTCAGGCCATTCTTTCGCAGGCGGCCAAGGCCACTCCTCGTTGTTTAAGGAAATGGCAGACACTGCTTGGCGATCGTGATCTAGGATCCACTGAATAATCTCCTCCCCCAATTAATGAATGACCCCCATTAATAATAAATGCAAATCCGGGGCCCGAGACCAGATTTCCACTCCGCACAATTGATTTTTAATTGCGCCAATACTAAACCAATACTAAAGTCTTGGAATCCTTATTAGGGGGCACTTTTAACAAGCTTCCAGCCCCACTTTTAAGCTGCGACTGTCTCTCCCCCATACATGCTGGCTAACCTGCCTGGCTGCCAACAAACAACCAGTAAACTGAAAAACAAATAGAATGATACATGAAATTTCCTTATTAACCCGCTTACTCGCGGACCTTACAATTCAATCCATTTCCTCCAAATCCTACGCGAACCCTCACATTGTTGGAAAAGCAAAAAACCCAACCCCGAAAACCCCAATTTAAAAAAATAAAAATCTATTTTTGGGAGGATGTATTTATAATAGGGGGGGGGGGCGTATTTATTAATAGGGGGAAGAGATTAGCGTGGGAGACTGAGGGTGTCAGACATGCCGAACTCAGGGACCTTCGTGCCCGGGAGCAGCTTGGACTGCCATCGCCCAACTGTTGAGGGATCTCGTGCGCCTGAAGCTTGCTGACCAGGTCTTTGAACCCGATTGCCGTTGGCCCAGACTTTAACACAACCCGGAAGCCACCAAGCTGCTTCACCTCAGTTGTGGGAACCGAAGACGAGTCAGCAGCGCTTTTCACACGGGCCAGATCGTCGAGCTCCGTGCATTGGCGGCGGAAGTCGCGGAAGTGCCGGGCAAAGAGTGGAGCTGCAGGAAGGAGATGAGGAGGGCATCTTCGGGGCCTCGAGGTTTTCTTCCGCGCATAGCTGGATGCGGTTGTCCTTGAAGGCCTCGGTCCGCTCGCTTCTCTCAAGCCATCCTCGCAGTCGGACTCTGTGTGCAAACCCACAAAGTCGGCTTCACAGCCAAGGTCTTGAAGAGCCTGAACGACTGCGAAGCGCTCAACTTTGGAAGCCATGACGACGCTGCGTCTAAGGGAAAGGTTGTGTCACATTGAGCACGAGCCTGCAGGGGCAGAGTGGAATGCGAAACACGAACAACAGCAGACAGTCAGACGGCGCCCAAGTTTTTCCAAGCGCGGCCCAAATCGTACGCGATGCCACCACAGCGTGCTGCGTCTGAGTTCGCGACTTCTTCGGCGCCCTCAGCTGGCAGCTTGCTGTCTCTGCTGCACATCTTTGCAGGAGGTGCCCTTGGATCCCTTTAAGCAGCGCGCTTCCTGGGCCCGGCAATGCTGTCTTGAGACCCGGTTTGGATTTAGAGGCACTGCGCAAGGTAGATCAGCCACGTGCCTCTGCAGTTGAGCCAACGATTGACGCTGCCCTTTCAGCAAGGCAGCGCCTCCAAGCCGCCCGTTGAGTTGGCCTGCCCATTTGCACAGAGTGCTTCCCTTGAAACAGATTCGCAGTTCGCTCTGCGCGAAGCAGTGAGCTGGGCATTCAAAAGCGAAGGGATGTTAGCTTCCACGCTTTTGGGCTTGCGCGGTCCTTGTTACCTCCTTCAAGGGCCTGACCGCGGCTTGCCAATGTGCCCGTGTCACGGTTTTTCCTTGGTTGGGTGTATCCACGCTTCTGGGATTCTAAGGCCTGTTGAATGTGACGAACTGTTCCGTTGCAGGGGCGCGACGCAGAACTCTTTTTTGACAAGTTGCAGTTTGCTCCTCGCGTTCACCCATCTTCCCAAAGTGTTTTTTAGAAGCTCACTTCCTGAGTTCATGAACTTTAAACTTTTTGGGAAGACCATTTTGGTGGCAAATTTAAAGTTTGGACTGTTTTTTGGGCCATCCACTCAGGAAGTGAGTGGGTTTTTAAGGTTTCAGAGTCGTGAATTCCGTGACGGGCTGCGCGGGGTTGGCGGGTGGCGCCCAACGGCCGATTGACGATGGTAAAGCTGGTCGGCATCATGAATGTGCCCAGCTCCATAGGGCCATTGTCAACCAGCGCCTTGACTTGCCGGCTGTAGTTAAGCTTTGGCACCGGCAAGCTCTGGGGCAGACCTGGCCTGTGGAATGCCTTGGTTGCCGGTTCTGGTGCTGAAGACCTTTAGGAAAGCATATCGCCAGAACCACCCTATTCAGGTCCTTTTGACTTGGCATCCTCTGTCAACCAATTTAACAGGGCCACAGGTTTTCATTGCTGTGGCTTGGCATCTTTTCCTCATGGTTGCCGGGCGTTACTTTGATGACTCAATCCAATTTGAATACGCCTCACTTGCTGGAGCTCACAGGAATATGATGCAGGCGTCTCATCATTGGGCGCAACAAACCGTGAGCCCCGTGCCCCGCTTCTCGATCACGCACCTGTCTGAGGTGGCCGAAAGTCACGAAATCACGCTCCGCGCGTGTCCGGACACGCAAGCGCGTCTTCTCTCCACGTCCGCAAGGTGACTTCCGAACAAGCCGCCAAGCCTCGTGGTTTGTTAAACTGGTTGGATTTCCGCTCACAGCGCGCGGCAACATTTCGAGCGGACGATTTGACACCGTACCTTCAACTAGCCTGCCAGGCGTGCGCCGCTCTTCCCGCGGCCAACTCGTCCTGCTGTTGTGTACACGGACGCCTCCACTGATGCACATGCAAGTAGCGGCCAGCGGCTTCCTAAGTTTTTGCGTCGTCAGTTGACGTTCCACAAAATGTTGTGGCAAAGTGGGCGCCCCGACGCTCCTACATCAATTTGCTAGAGCTCAGCCCCGCTGCTCGCGTTCTCCTGCCCTCGATCGCGACAATCTGTGGTTCATCGACAACCAAGCAGCTTGTCCCTTGTTCGCTCAGCTTCACGAGTTGCTGATGTCAGTCACCTGTCTCTGCTTGCAGGCCTTCAGTTTGCCAAGCTGTGCTGTCATCCTGTTTTGAGCGACACCAAAACATCAGTGACTTTTCAGCCGCGCGGATGGGGTGACCCTGTCGTAATTCCCGCCATCAGTTCAGGCTGGCATCAACATAATATACCCCCTTCGCCCTGGCACCAGATCTCGCCCGACTTGCAGTTCATTTCGGCTTTTAGTTGGATGCTTTGAGTTTAAGCAGCGACTCAAAAGGCGTGCGCGTTGGTTACAGTGAATCCTACATGAGTGTCTGGGTTTCTGTTTTTCAGCCCAGAAAGGAGCCCACAGCATATTGCTTTCAAAGGGTCCTTCACCCTTGAGGTAACCCTCCCTCCTCCCCAGTTGAGTGGGTCCTTCGGCGAATTTTGAGCGGCCGCATTTGAGGCCGACGCAGCGCGAGCAGCGGGCGGTGGCGGCGATTTCCGGGGAGTCGGACTCCGAGTCCGACGAGGCCTTGGAGCCCGTAGAGCCGGGGGCCAAGGCCGCTTTGGAAGATCGGGTAGCTTTCAACCCTCCGTATAATGCTTTGGATTGGATTGGGCTTGGGTTGTGAGTAATTAGGTCCGATCCTTTCTCTGGCTGAAGGAGCCGAGGCCGGCCCTCGCCAGAGACATAGTTTACTGGACTGACGGGTTGGAGTCAAGCCAGCCGAAAGACACCCGTGATGGAAGAATCCCGCGGGCAATGGATGCCAGGCTTTCAATGCTGGATGTGGTTTTTCCCACTCCAAAGGCCCAAAGATTACAATATTTCTCCCCCCA